CATTTATTAATTTTGTTTCTTGCGACCACCGCCAGGGTATTATTCACGGTTTCTGGTCGGCCACATTCGAATTTGTGAACGCGCCCTGGAACACGCCCAGCCCGCTCTCGGCCAACGGCGCCTCCTCATTTGCTTCTTATGCATCCCAATGCCACACTCGATATACGGCTCTGCTGTAAGACAGCGATCGAGTATCCAGTCCCGCCGTGACACAGTGAACCAACGTTTCAGTGAACAGCACACTCAAATATGGCGTTCGGTTCAAGGGGTGATGGTACAATTTTCAAATTTTGGCTAATTAACTGCGGAAATTAATCTGCGTCACCTATGGAACGAAAAACAGAAAAACGTATTTTCTTGCGAGTGCTAGTTTTTATTTAAAAAAATGAAACAAATCGAAGGTCAAAGTGCCTCTCGAGTCTCAACTCTCCTCGTCGACTTTCGAGTGACATACTCTGGGGGGATCACGTGGTTTCCCCTTGGGTCCCCTCTTCAGAGACCCCAGCCGCTGCCTTCGCGATTGCCGACTTTTGAAGGATTAGCATCGTCGAAGGTCACGGCGATCGATCGACACAAAGGACGGTTCGCCACGGGGCTCACGGCGAATGTAGCAGCGGAGGGGGGAAGGTACTTTTTGTTGACTTCCGCATATTCCTTAGATACGCTGTCATTTTAGTTCCCGTAACCGCCACAGGCGGCTGCATAGCGGCAAATAATTCTTTTTTTGCTTTGCTACTACCCAGCAGAATAGCAGTTTTGCGGAGAAAGGTGGCGCGTTTTCGGAGACTTGGGCTTGCATAAACAATATAAAAAATTGAAACTGCCAATTCTTTCAACATTGAAATCGTTGCACTGCACCTTTAATACCCCTTTCGATCCTTTTGCTGATTACAGACATGAACCGCCGCCTGCGTCCCAAGCGACATCCGGTCGCACCGTCTTTGAAAGCCTACCGAGCTAGCTTATGTCACAAGTGCTAGAAAACATAAATTCTACACGGAAAACTAAGTTTCAGATTTAACGAGGGACTTCCACTGTACAATATAACATCTTGGAGGAGACGAGTTGGTTTATAAGAATATTCAAGACATTTGAACACACCTCGCGCTTCTTCGTTCTTTTGGCGTTCACCTGGAGAATGGATGGTTAAACGATTCATTGACATTTCAAGCAGCGTTGATTAGGTGGGCTTTGTTTATTCTGTGTATGAGCCAGGCGGCAATAATGCAGATCAGTCGTCGAGAAATTCGTCTGAAAAACGAAGAACGTGCTAGAGGTCAGAGACTGGAGTGCCGTCTGGTGTCGTTTGGCATGAAAAGTGTCTATGTCATGCCAGCACAGTGATGGAAGAACGTCAACTCATTCTAAAATAAATTGATAATATAAGTGGTGTATGCATGCATGCACAGCTGCCAAATGTATTCAAGAGCAATGATATTCCCAACTTTCAGCGATGGGGGTACTGTGGTGGTAGAATCGCGCTCCCTAGTTCCTGGATGATCGGCTTCACAATAAAGGTGCTTGCCTACACCTTCCCGGCGTAAAAATATAAAGGCTCTAATACTGCTCGTCTAGTGCAAAACTAGAGTTACTTACACGTCGCACACCCCAGCTCGTACAGCTGTTCTACGACGATCATCCGCTCATGCTTTCAGTTGCACTTCGAAATGTGGAAAGCGATCAGGTAAAGCCAAGTCACTTCGATTGCAGCGCCACCCTCGCTGCGTGCGATCGAGCAACCACACAGGTCAAGGCCATATGAACAATATAGCCCCTTAGGAGCTATATTGTATTTTTTTATGATTTTGACGTCAGAGGTAACGTCAAAGCACCACGACAAGACGACGTGACGTTACGACGACGCCACGACGTCAACGTCGACTATGACGTTACGGGACGCCAAGACGCTGTCGTAAGGCCGTCGTGACATCCCGTCGCGTCCAGGACGACGCCGTTTCGCGACATCAAGTCGCCGTTGTAACACCATTGCCGTTGTCGTCGCGGTCGTGACATCGCGTTGATGACAACGCCGTTACGCGACATTAGGTGGCCGTTGTGACGCGGTCGTGACATCGCGTCGTGTTGAAGACGACGCCGTTAGGCGACATCAAGTCGTCGTTGCAACGTTGTCATGACGTCGCGCGCTGCGTCGAGGACGACGTGGACGTGGTCGTCGATGCCGACGTTGACATGGACGCCCCACGCAACGTCAAACATCGCTATGACGGCACGTTAACGTCGTACTGACGTCATAGTTAACGTCAACGTCACAACGAAGCCTTGACGGCGTGTAACGGAGTCGCCTTCGCCAGTATCAACGTCGACGCGCAGTCACGACGAAGCTTCTTGACGTCGTGTAACGTCGTCAACGACGACGTCAACGTCGACGTCTTGAAATTGTCGGCACGTCTTCGTGACGTCGAGTTGCGTCTTGTCGACAACAACGTCGACGATCTGACACCAAGCGTCCTTACGACGTCGCATTGACAAGGATGCCGTCATCTTAACGTCCCGTGACGTTATCGTCGTCGTCATTAACGTCAACGTTGACATCGTCGTCATTATCAACGCAATACGACGTGAGAACGCAGTCTTGATGTCGTGTAACGCACGTTGTCAACGTCGATAACGACGTTGACATCAAGGCGTTGTCCTGATGTCGCATGGCGTTGTGACAACAAGTCAGGTCGCGGTGACTTAATGTACGTGATGACTGACGTCTAGGGTGTATAAAAAATATAGTCCGACATTCTATTGTTTCTAGGACCTTGACCAGTGGGCCGGTCGCGCTTGGGTTTGGAACGAAACGCGTTTTTCATTAAAAACGGCTATAGTCGGTTGCAAGCTAAGAACAATCTTTTAGCTCCACCCACAAGCGCATTGCGCCCATCTGAAGTGCCTCCGCTGTCGAGAAAGTAGTTCGCTAGCAACGTTGCTTTTTATTCCTCCAGGAAACGTGTCTTAAACTACTACATTATTTATTTAATTCATTCAGGACATTTAAATAAATTAGAATACGTTTTTGTCAACGAAATAGCTGTTTAGTAAAGAAAGAAAGTCATGTTCAATGTACCGTCTTCCCAATTCATTTTCTGTCCAAGATACTGTCTAACATACCGTCTTCCAGCGCCTTCGATTGAGAGAAAGCCGCTGGGGAAAGCGAAGCACTTATAATTCCTGCAAATAATAAATATTTAGTGATTTACTTAGTTTTGTGGGCTTTGCGCACGAAATGTGAGCCTTTATTTTGTTGGATGAATAGAAAACAAGAATAATTATACTTTTCGGGTTTTGACAAATCGGCACCCTCCCAAGTCATCGACACCACCACCGCGCCCCGCTCTCCTTGTCTTCCGTCATGGATCCCACTGAGGTGACATCGGAAAGCGATTCCCCTGATTCTTCTTGGACGAAACAGCCTGGTGCAGCCTTACCGGCGACACCAAAGCGGTTCTTCAAGAAGCACAATCCAAGGAAGCAGACGACGTCCGGCGTAGCTTCTCACCTCTCAGCAGTGCTAAGCCTCGCGCCCGCTTCGAAATTTTCGTTGGCGATAGCGTCGCTGGATTCTCACGTTGTCGCGCAGAAACTGCTGCAAACGCAAGCCGATACCATTAAGATTTCGTGGCGTAACCTCGGGTACGTAAAACACGGTACAAAAAAGCAGAATAATTGTCACGAAAAACTATACGTCGCGTTGCTAAGGCCAGCAGCCATGTTGAGCTTTTTTTTTTTCAAAAGGATCGCGATTAGTCCACAGAATCGTGACGTCAAGAAAACGATTGGCTGGCGTTTCTCGGCGTAGGATTACATTTTCCTCTGAGAGGCATTTCCGGTTTTTTCTTAGCTTGCAACCGACTATAATCCAAACCACTTCGCTCGTAGCGCCCTCTCGGGCGCTACGAGCGAAGTGGCTTGGATTAGTTGGTTTTTTCCACATGCGGAGGTACCTAAATAGCACTCCGGTGGCCCACTCGTCCCTTCTAGTACACTCTACCTATAGGTCGTGAAAGTTTGTTTGCTTTGCTTTGAAACGTAATGAGAATACGGCATTTAAACAAATTTATTCGCTAAAGCACGCGATTTATACTGCACATCATCGCGCGCCCCCGACATTCGGAAAGCGTTTGTCGGTATTAGAGTCGTGACATGAGACATATTTTTGCGTTGCTATTTCGTAAACAGAAACGCCAATTTTAAACAACGTAAAAATGGCCTTCGGAGATTTCCGATAGTATACATTTATCACATTAAATAATCGCACAAAATGAAGATAAATGCTTTCAACTATGTCCTATAGTTCACAGCAGACAGTAATGACACTAGCGCAACGGCACGATATCTGGGCACGTCAGCTACTTCACCGCCGCCAGTCACATTACCATACTCCGCTTCACCTGATGTTGTACCGCAGCGAAAGCTAGAAGCGCGAGCTCATAGCGTTGGCAGCTTCCCTTAGTGCAGGAGAGCGTCTGCCGCCGAGATGTGCCCTAGAGCAAAGAGCTCGCGCTTGTAGCCTTTTCTGTGGTACATCATATGGCGAAACAGAGTATAGATACTATATAAAATGCTTCACTCTGAAAGCGTCGCTCGTAAGCACCACATATAAAATCTAGTACTGTTGAGCATGTTTTCTAGGTTGGGTCAGGTATCATGCTGACATACGAATTATCAAAAACATTTAAGAAGTAATAAAAATCAGGTTTGTTATGGGACATCTTAAAGGGGGACAACTCTAACAAAAAACAAAACGTATTACACAACGTTAATGACCGTCCGATTAAACTATCCATGTTTGAAACTCATTGACCTTTTTACATATATGCGAACACCTTCGGCTCCCAACAACTTAAATATACATATATACATATAAAGTGCAGCATCAGTAGAATTGCAAAAAAAACCAAAAAAAAAACCCGCCTATATACTTTAGATGTGCTTTGGCAGCCGCAGTCGAAAAAGGTGGCTCAACTGCGCCTACCAAAGCCAAGGAGTACTGGTTACGTCTTCAAAGCGCACTTGGGTGCCTGGTTCATAAAAAAGTTGGATTTGCATCCGAAGGCCTGCACAAACTCTGGCATGTTTCGGAGGGGTCCGTTAACCCGAAACCAGGCCGGGCTGGACGGACCTTGAGCAGCCATCTTACGCAGGAACCTCCGGTTGCTGTTCTCGCAGAAGCCTGCCGCGTAGTACACAAAGAACAACTGGCTCGTGCTCCAGCGTTCGACCAGCCGGAGCCGGTAGTTTTCAGACACGCGGCTGGCAAGCAAGAGGAACGCTTCGTACGCGGGCTTCAGGGCCAGAAAGTCCCACAGGTCAGACCAGGACGTACTAGACGCGTTGAGCTGCACTCGCTTGTCAGCCCACACCATGGCACCGTACTGGCGTTCCAGACACGAGCGGAGGTCATCCAAGTTGTGGGTCACGCTGTAGCCGCGTTCCTTCTGGAATTCAAAGTTGTAAATCCAGTGGTAAATTGCCCTGAACAGACTCCGGTATATTCTGGGTGCAGCCCGGGGCACATGGAGGGGCCGAAGCGAGGGGTCTTTGTTGAGGTAGAAATCGAAGACCGGCAGTGGGATCTCGATGCGTTCGAAGGGGGGTCCCAGCTTGGCGTCGGTGGTCAGGAACCCACCCGTCCAACCCGGATGCATCATCCGGGAGTTCATGTGGGCCAGAAGTCGCTTTTGGAACGACTTCCGGATCCAGGTGTAAAAGAACTGAGCCGTGGACGTCTTGGAGTTGGTTAGGTAGATGCCTTCCGTGTACTTGGATCGTAAGCTGTCGTCTTCCATAGCACGCGGTACAAGGGGTTCCCACGAAACGGTGGCAAGCCGCTCTCGAAGTAAAGCCTTGAGCTCGCTGCTGGGTCTGCCTAGCTGTTCTTGCACGTGCTCTAGGAAGACGAGCTTGATTGTGGATACCAGATCAACCACTTGAGCTTCACCGCCCAACAGTGCTCTCGAGAAATGACGAGATACGTAAAGCGGCAAGTTGGGTTCGAACCTGTCTAACAGGCGAAGACAGTAGTGGGCCTGTGGAAGTGCCTGCGCAAACTCCGGATGTCGGGCGTAGCTGACAGATGCCAAGTCATTACGCACCGCCCCGTCCTTCATGAGTGGTGACAGGGCCATGGTTAACTTAAACATTAGGTAGCCCATGAGGTCCTTGGTGTTCCGAAGCAAGTCGTCCCGCGTTAGTCGCAACAGATATTCAGGCGAAGCCAACTTCAGGTACGTTCTGGACGTGATAGGTCGCAACCCCTTGCCGAACACACTCTGAAAGAAGCTGGGCCAGTCGATGCGCTCTACAGCAGGCAGATCCCGTACCTTGATAGTCGTACAGTTGACCAGAGACTCCGAATCTTGCTGCGGTCGTACGAGCAGTCGCGAAAGCCGGGCTTCAAATCGGAGAATATCTGTGTCCACTAAATTCTGAAAGAAGTTGAGTACAGGGGCAAAGCCCAAGCGGACCATTTCGTACTCATTCTCGTCCAGCGGCCCACGTAACAGAACAGGCGATGGTTCTCCCAGTCCAATGAACCGTTTGGTCTCGTTCGTGGGATCCTTGACGACAAAAAACTTCAGGATGGCGTCGATGCCCAGTTCGCGAAAGGCCAGACCGAGCTTGCGGGCGACTTCGGCGGGCAACACCCGCCTTGTGGGCGACTTAGCCATCCAGAAATGGATGTTTGTGGCGTCCAGGAACATGGCCGACAAGCGGTCGAAGAGCGTGGACTCTGGGTGCAGACAGCGGTCAAGGAGAAACTGAAGCTCGGGAAACTGGCTTGAAAAATTCCTGATACCTGCCGCAAGCAGCTCGGTGTAGCCATCCAGCAAGAGAGTGTCCACTGAGACTTGCTCCGCGCCAGGTGGTAGTGGGTGCCTTAATGCCCAGTCATCGCAGACGTAGGAGTAGAAGTCCTCGCAAGGGTCTCTGGACACATTGATTTGACGCAGCAGCAGTTTAGCTTGTTCAATGCAGGCCATCGAGTCGCAGGGTTTGCTGGCTTTCGGCGCCCCCACGACATTCAGGAGGCGCTTGGGAAGCTCCGAGCCGCCGCTCGGGTTCGGGTTCTGCAAGAGGGGTGCCACGGTCTCGATCACGCTCCACACTCTACGGGGGTTGAGCAGCGTGGTGGTCACGAAGGCGGTAATGACGACGGACGAGAGCAAGAGCCCCGTCGCGGTGATGGCGAGGCACCAGAGTAACACCCAGCGAGAGCTGTTCGGCTGTACGTTACTCTGGATCGGGGGAGGACTTGGCGTCAGTCTGCCTTGATCATTCCTCTCGGCCATCGCTGTTCTGGAACTGAGCGCGTGCGGACACGCGAACGCGTGCACGGGGCGATGCTAGTGGTGACCGATAGGTGGACAAAAAAAAAAAAGAGGAAATAAGCATGTCTTGGGGCTTTAATGTTTTGTGATCGGAGCAGCTCAGGTCTAGCTCGGGGACAACGTAATGTGACATCTCAGAAGGTGAGGGAATATTATAGCATACTGCTTTGATAAGCGCACGGGCTTTGATTTAGTTACCTTAAAAGATTGTCCCCAGTGGACTAAGAAACTTTTTAATAAAGTCAAAATTAATAATAATACCCATAAATTAAGTCTCGGTTTCTTCTAATACCCTTGTTACATGGGCCTTCTTAACCGCGGTTAACTCAGCTTTAACTGCTTTACACAGCACCACAGTTACCGTACTATACGCTCGGGCAGCTATTTCAGAAGTAGTAAAGAGCGCGCGTGCACTGCTTTGATGGGTGCTCAAGGTGCTCAAGCGCAGGTTCGCCCACAGCTTTGACTGCATAGCCGCAGAATGTTGTCCGCACGTACTGTGCGCTAGCTGTACGTGTACGTACGATCTCTTGCCCGTATTGGGCAGAAGATCGAACTATAGGGGGCGGTTTATCGAGCTTGTTGTCCCCACAGCCCGATGTTTACCAACACAGCATAACAAAGAAATTTAACTTCGCCTAGCACGGTCTGGGCACGAGATCTTCGCTCTGACCGTGGCTTTAGTTGCACGAGGAGCGGCTTTAGAATCGTCGTCTTCGATTTCTCGGACCAAAAACAAAAACGAAAATGCGGTTTGTTGTCCCAACAGTTCAAGCGTGCCGATAGAGGCGTGACTGTTCGATCTCCTCCGCAGGGCATAAAAGGCGATAGAGGGGACGTATTCATAATCTGCGTTACCTAATTGTAGAGTTGCAGTCGCGGTGCATAAGCAAAGTGGAAGAAAAAATCAGCCAGCTTCTATCTTTGGACATCATTGAAGAAGCAACAGGACCCACCCCGTGGGTTTCTCCAGTTGTAATCGTGCCAAAACCGCAAAACCCAGACGAGGTTCGATTATGCATCGACATGAGATGCGCAAACAGAGCCATCCTTCGTGAGAGGCATGTCTGCCCTACCTTCGACGACATGGTCATCGCACTGAATGGGTCAACGTTATTTACAAAACTTGACCTAAAGGATGGATACCATCAACTAAAACTTGACGAAGAATCAAGAATAATAACGACATTCGCGACACACACCAAGCTCTACCGATACAAGCGCCTAATGTTTGGCATTAACGCGGCCGCCGAAGTCTTTCAGGAAACTATTCGCCAAGTCCTTAATGGGATACCTCACGTCCTCAACCTGCAGTGACGACATACTAGACATACTAGTGTTTGGTAAAACAAAACAAGAACACGACCAGGCCGTAGAGGCCACACTTGTAAGGTTGAAAGAATGGGGCCTCACAGTTAACCCAAAGAAATGCCTCTTCGCACATACGAGCCTGTGCTTCTTTGGACATCTTCTCCGCTTCTGGCATTACTGCGGATCCCCAAAAGATTGCAGCACTTAGGGAAATGGAAGCTCCTACTAACGCGCATGAGGTTCGAAGTCTGCTTGGCACTGTAAACTACAGCGGACGCTTCCTTCCTGATCTCGCGGACCTTACACACCCCCTTCGGCTCCTCACCAAGAAAACTGCCAAGTGGGTCTGGGGACCAACAGAGCAGGCTTCCCTGGACAACTTGAAGGGAAAACTCTCTGAAGTACATAATCTCGCATTTTTCGATGGCACAAAGGAGATCATTCTTACAGTTGACGCATCCCCTGTTGGACTCGGTGCCATATTAGCACAGAAGACAGACAATATCAATGAAACTGTCGCGTACGCTAGCCGTGCTTTGACCCCCACGGAATCACGATACTCCCGAATTGAACGTGAACTACTTGCTGTGGTATGGGGAGTTCAGCATTTTCACCTGTACCTATATGGCAACACATTTCTTCTCCACACAGACCACAAACCACTCGTGTCAATCCTTACCAATCCAAGAGCCTCTCCCTCGGCACGCCTTGAGCGTCTCGCTCTGAGAATTCAGCAATATAACTTCAGAGTGGAACATACGCGTGGAAGCAGCAACCCTTCGGACTACTTGTCTCGCCATCCCTTGCCAAACCTTCCCGCTGATGCCAACCTGGCTCATGCCACTGATGCGTATGTCAACCTTATTGCTCAATGCCATCTTCCAAAAGCTATGACTAGCGCAGAAGTAGTTGAGGCCACGGCTAGTGACCAACATCTACAGGAAGTGATCGCTGCCCTCAAGAGCCCTGCCAAAAGGCGCAATCCAGCTCTCAAGGACTTTGTGTCAATACAACACGAGCTCTCTGTGGCAGACAATGGCCTGCTGCTGAAAGGTACTCGTCTCGTTCTACCCGCCGCTCTCCAGCAACGAGCCATATCTCTTACAAATGTGGGGCACCAAGGGACGACCAAGACAACCAAGCTCATGAAGCAGAAGGTCTGGTTTCCTCATCTCGATACTAAAGTGCAAACAGCCCTGAAAACCTGTATGCCGTACCAAGCGACCATTCAGTACCAACATGCCGACCCCATCGCCATTCCAGAAAAGGCCAGTCGGCCTTGGGAAGCCCTCTCACTTGACTTCGCCGGTCCATTTTCAAACGGCAAATACCTGATGGTCCTTATGGATGACACGTCCCGCTATCCTGTCGTAAAGATATTGTCATCGCTCACCAGCCAATCCGTCATCAATAGCATCACCAAGATCTTCAGCATCTTCGGAATTCCAAAGGTGATCAAAACGGACAACGGACCCCCATTCTAGAGCCACGACTTCAAGCAATTCGCCCACACGCTAGGATTCCACCATCAGCGTATTACACCGCACTGGCCGCAAGCGAATGGGGAAGTGAAGAGATTCATGCGAACATTGAAACGGTTCATACAAGCGACAACACTGGAAAACAATAGCTGGACCTCCAAGCTGGTCGAATTCTTGATGGCCTACAGGGCAACACCCCATTCAGCAACTGGAACCCCACCCTTTGATGTGCTTTTCGGCAGGTCCATGGGATATCTTCTCTCAAGCTGCTCCAATGACAACCCACCTCAGAAGTGGCAAGACACAGTTCTCCAAAATCGCACAAAACACAAGATATACGCTGACAAACGTAGGCACGCCCGGCCTCACAACCTCACTGTGGGAGACCAAGTTCTCTCCAAACAAAACCAAGGAAACAAGCTGACCCCTGCCTATGATCCCAAGCCATACCAGGTCATCGATGTCAAGGGGACGCAAATTACGGCACGGCCGGATCACGGCATAATAACGAGAAACGCTAGTTTTTTTTAAACCCATGCCCCCCACCACGAGCAAAGGATCCGAAGGTGACTGTGACTCGGACAACGCGTGGTTCAATGTCCACCTCTCTCAAGATGGCTGCAGGGGAACGCTTCCAGACCCGACTGATCGAGAAACCGAGCAACGCCTCGTTCGGGGGGAGGACGAAAGAGACCGATCTGTTGAAGCCCCTGCCCCTGATCCACCAGGAACATCGCGACCGATCCGTACCAGGTGCCCTCCTGCACGACTCAAGGACTACGTCTGCTCTTAATGGGCCTTTCGTACTGGTCATTTGTCTGCTTCTTGGGGGGAAGTGATGTAGTGATGTGGATTTTATGTCTGCGCGTGCAACACATATAGCAGCGGGGAAAAGGAGAAAGAGGAAGAATAAATCCAGGGAATGGAAATGGCTGCCCCTGGTTCATTCTACACGCAGTAGTAGCACACCGCTTATGCACCGCGACTGCAACTCTACACTAATCACCATCAGCTTTGTTTACTTGGCACCGAAGTTGTGCAAATACCATTGAAGATGCGTCCGAACGGTGGTGGTGAACGGCGGAGGGTGGTTCACTGCAGCCTGCTTACGCTGATGGTTATGCGAACTTGCGTGTAAAACCTCCTCCGTTGAAGTGAAGTCCCAATGCTAAAGGAGAGTATCCCTGTTCTCAGAGAAGGCGATACGCTGCCGCGGTGCTCTGAATCTACTCTCTATTGTCTGGTGAGGGATTGGGCATAAAAATATTGAAAAGCAGCAGCAGCTTTTTTCCTAATCGAGAAGGAGGACCCTATTGATTAGAGACAGTGATACCTACCGGAGGGCGATCTTGAAGCAGAGATACAAGGGCTGCAAAAGTTATTATTAATAGGCAGACCTGGGTCAACTCCAGCTATATAAATAACAAGGTACCGACATTCCCTCAAAATCAACACGCCAAACGTTTAACTTTAAGGTGAAAATGCTGAAGCACCCTGCAGGAAAAGGTAGAAACATTATTGCTGCTCATGCAAGCAGCGACGACGACAGTTTCCGAATAGCTGTGTTCTTTATCGTCTCTAAAATACTATAATAATTCGTATTATCGGCCTACGTTTTAGCTGCAATTTTCGAAGCCGCTTCTCTTAGTGCCCAGAGCTCGAGTAAGGCCCGTTTCCGTCCTTCTGAGTCCACAAAATATGAGCCACCCGAACGCACTGTTGCCAACATGCACCGACGTTGGATCTGCTGAGTCATCCAACAGCCTCGGAAACTTCATGGAAAATACCTTGAGTGAGTCGAATGACGATAGCTGATCGACCATTTAATTAATTCAAGCTACGATCATCGCTATTCCGGTCAAAATCTCCCCATCTATGTGAAACCAACTGACCCAACAAATCTTATTTTTACTACTACTGATAAAAGGGCGCCGCAGTGCTGAATGTATAGACGCTTTACACACGCTCCAGATTGTAGCCGCCATTGCTGACCTTCTCCTGTCTTACCGAGATACCGAGCCACTGAAACGGGCGTTGACGGGTCTCCACAAAGGACAAGACTGGGGAGAAGAAGGAAATAGTCTGAAATGACAATAACCTAGTCTGCTATGGTAGTTATGAAGGGAAGAAAACGGAATAAGGGGAAACAAAAATCATAAACCCTTCCATTTTGTGAAGGTGGATGATCAGCGAAGCTGTTTAGCACACGACACAGATGTGAAACAAAACTTTTAACGGAGGTACGAACATCGCCGCTCCGAGGAGCCGAAGGAAACTAGACACGCGCGACGGGACCGCCACCCTTCGGAAAGTGGACACGCGCGACGGACCGCCACCCCGGGAGAGCGGAAGGGAAAGGAACTAGGCACATAAACGCTTGGAACGACGAAAAAGGAAAGTGCGGTGCGAGCTTAGGCATGGCCAACGCGGCTCGCACAGCGGCAAATATTTGAGAAACCTTTATTATTTACGTGAGAGTCTACTGATCTTGAAAATGGTGCCTCTTGATAACTAATCCACTGAAAATGCATATCCAAGTGATGAGACCTATAACTTTTTTGCATAGAATGAAGCGATTTTGCATCAAATTCGGGACCTGAGTTTTTGTTGACGGACAGGAAAAATCCACGGAACCATAGCCACAACCAACTTCGCTGTAAAGCTGGAGGTCGGTTATGGCAGCTCTTATAGAGTCACTAAATGAGCTGCGCTTAGGGTATCGGAACTCTGTTCTCCGACATTGTTGTGGGCGCCGCCGTTTCGGTGCTTGTGCAGAGAGCAGACGCAACAACCGAACGTCATTATTCAAAAGTGCGACTTCCTTGGTGTTAGGAGGCTCATGTAATATTCCTTTGCTCTGTCGCGAACTGTTTAAGCATTTGTGGAGGGAAGAAAAATGTTTCCTGTGATTTCAAATAAAACTTCAGATAGCTGGCAACCATCATATAAAGCCACAACATGGGCAAGTATCGTTACTCTGAAGCGTAGCTTATTTGGTGTCACTAGCAGCTCCCATGCTCAGCATGAGAGCTGCCATAACCGACCTTCAGCATAGACATGTGCGGACACGCGGCTATCTGCCGTACAAGCGGATACAGAAAATCCCAAGCATGTCAACAAATTGAATGAACTCTAAACAAACGAAATTCAATGTTCTTCACCATCTTTCTTTTTTTAACAACGCCAATGAAAAAAGGTCATTGGGGAATACCATTTTAATGTTAATCAGCTTCAGGCTTTTTGCGCAACTCTACACGTTTGCTAGAAAGGCTCCTGTGCGATGCTATTTTGAGCGGTGCTGGCGCCGCGCAACGTTTCCGCCATACTGGTAGAGTGAACTAGACACGACTAAGTGGGGGCAAGCAACAGGCTCTGCTCATGCTTTCAATTGCACCTCAAAGTGTGGAAAGCGATCAGGTGGAACTACGCTGGAAGAAACACATTTAGGTGATGACTCTGGCCGCTCTTCCCGCGGGAGGGAGCGACCAGATCGTGTTCGGAGCTAGCCTCGAACCAGTAGTAGTTAGTTCCACGCTGCCGCGGAGTGCGCTGAGGTATGAGCTCCCTCCTCGGCGGCCACGGTGTCGGCGGCGTAGCGTGCTTGCCTTTTTCGCGGTGTGGTGGTGTGGTGGTGTTGTGCGGCCAGTGGCTGGCCTCGTGTTTTGCTTTGGTGCTTTGGTGTGAAGTGGCTTTGGTGAAAAGCCAACACCACCTAGACCAGGGGTCTCAAACTCAATCAAGTGTAAGGGCCAGAGAAACCACACTCGAAAATGTCGAAAACCATATTAATTATATTTTAATCTTTTTTAAAGACAGCAATAACTTACGTTGCAAAGCGGCCGACGCTCTAGCGACACCACAGAAGTGTGCCAGAAAAGGGACCTTGTGCTCTCTGAATATTGTGAGCTCGCCGTTGTGACATCATCACCTTTGATTTGTTTATGCGACTACTCTGGGCCCATAAGTGATGTGATGACAAGTTTTAAAATATCAATGTGCTGAAATTTTTAATACAAGTAGAGCAAGCACTCTGTCGTTGCTCTGTCGCGCTAGTGACTACTCTCAACATAAATCTAAAAACAAAATATATATATCTTTATGAGACAGTTTTTGCTTTCCTGCCGATTTTTATTGCAGCATACAAGAAAAATACTTCTAAATGTATCTTTGACGGTTAGAAGAACGAGCTCATAGCTTTATTTCTAGCAATTGCTCTTATCGAGAGATATTTCACGGAATCGAGATGCGTCTTTGAGTAAAGGGTAGCCGAGTAGATGTACTGTCGTTCTGCTTGATTTGTCAGAAAAGACAGAGAAGGCAATATTTAAACGAAGCATTACTCGGTCTAAATAATACCTAAATAGCGCAAAATGTGTGCACACATTACATGAGCAGAGTGTCTTTCCGAGTTGAAATGAATCGACAATTTTAAACTATTATTTGTGGCGCATGTAGCGCTTCAGGCATGGGAATGGGGCTAGCACTCGCGTGATGCTTGCGGGCCGCGTCCCGGAGAATCGTGGGCCGCATACGGCCTGCGTTCCGTGTATTTCAGACCTCTGACCTAAACTGACAGGCCTCTCCGCTCTTCCTACGACGTCCGGCTATGGGCCCGGCCACCAGACATCTCTATTTTTCATGTGTGCGGCAATGGCGGCGGAGACAATGGCGTAGTGCGTTTCGTCGAATTCATTTTTCAGTTTAAGTGATTTTTGAACGAACCAGGGATAATCCGGACGTGACAATGTGTGTTGTGATGTGAACTGTGATGCGGGAGAAACGTGCAAGAAACGTTGTTCATTGGATATCTGCACAGAAAGGAATTGGACATCAGAATAAGTAGGAAACGGTTTTGATTAACCATCGTTTTGCTGGACTTGCAGAAAGTAATTTATTTGCTTGACTACTATGCTATTTCTATGCAAGCTATGTAATCCTAACTCGTAGAGATTTACTCAAAGGCACACAGTTATTCGCCGATTCCTTTATTCGTCTAGGTCTAG